CCGCGCCTCCCTCCTCCCGCCGCTGCCGGGAACTGGCAGCCTCTCCGCTCCCGCTGCCGCAGCGGCCACCCGCCCAGACCCAACTTTGCCGCTCGCCGGAGCTCGCGCGGCGGGGGGAGGCGTGGGCAGGGAGGGGAGAAAGCGGGGTCAGGGGGAGGGACCGGGAGGGGTGGGCCGCCCGTTCGCCAGCCCTCCTTCCTTTCTGTACACCTTGCGGTAGGCGCAGAGCGGTAGCCGCGGCAGCAGCCAGGGGGTTTGTGCACAGGGAGAGGCAGACTTAGGGACCAGCAGACGGACGGACCGACAGAGAGGACCCTCCTCGAGCCCCCGCGCCATGGCCGAGAGGAAGCAATCCGGGAAGGCGACGGAGGACGAAGAGGTCCCTGCCTTTTTCAAAAACCTGGGCTCAGGCAGTCCCAAGCCCCGGCAGAAATTCTGTGGCATGTTCTGCCCCGTGGAAGGGTCCTCGGAGAACAAGACCATCGACTTCGACTCGCTGTCGGTGGGCCGGGGCTCGGGGCAGGTGGTGGCTCAGCAGCGGGACGTCGCCCACCTGGGCCCGGACCCGCAGCCTCCGTACTCCCGGCAGGGCCGGCGCGCCGGCGGGGAGCCATCTGTTGAATCGAGCCGGAAGGTGGAGATCCGGCGGGCCTCGGGCAAGGAAGCCCTGCAGAACATCAACGACCAGGTTGGTATGGGGGGAGGGGTGTTTGAAACGGAGGACCGTGCGCGGGGGTCGCCCCTCCCTCGCCTCCTTCCAGCTCGGTGAAGAACGAGGATCTCAGCGTGCCCACCGTCCTGCCCCTCCTCGAACATTGCCTCCCCGCATCTGCACACGCACCCCACCCTACCCGCCCCTTCTCCGTGCAGGGTGCGGAGAGGCTCGGGCTCGGCGGTGGGCGGCTGTGCGCCCACAAAGGCTGCGGGCGCCTCCCTGGGCCTGGGCAGTAGCGCGTGGGGGTAAAGGATGGGCCGATCCCCGGCTAGGGGGTCGCATGGTTGGGGGGGATGGGCCGCCGTTCCATTCTTAAATCCGGCCGGGCGGCTTCCGATTGCAGCTGTGGCTGGATGCCCCACCCTTTTTTGATGCAGCTCGGAGCGAGCGGTGGAGAGTTCGCGTGCAGGCTCGCGGGCTCCCCGGGGGTCGGCAGGGGCGGGGGCTTCGATGGCCGCTCCCCACCGCGCCCTGCGCGTTCACCCACCGCACCTCCTCCCGCGCCCTCAGCGCTCGCGTCCCGAGCTCGGAGGCCAGCACCATGGCCAGCGCCTCCCCGGACCGCCTCGCAGAATCGCACCACCCTTGACTCCTGTTCGCAGTGTGAGAAGAACGAGGGAGGCGGTGGAGTCACGCGAGGAAACCGAGACGCTCCTAAATAGCCATGTGGAGAACAAAGTTCGCTGAGTACCCTAGCAAGGGCTTCCCAGAGCGGTCCCCCCGCCGCTGTTGGGGAAGCACGTTGGGGATGGGGACTGAGTGGATTATGTTCAAAGGGTAAAAAGAAAAGAAAAGGGGAAAACCCCTCACATTTTGAATAGATTGTCAGAGATGGATTAGATCCCTACACTGTGTCAATGGGGGAACAAAGAAGACCGATTTGGTAAACCTTGATTTTAGAAAGTGTTGTCATCTCTCGCAAATATGTATAGTGTGCATTTTAAGTGCAGTAGTCTTCTTGCACCACATTTTTTTTTTTATCAGGGTGACCTTCATACTTGTGCAATTTTTTTCACAGCCTTATTTTCTCAACTGATCAGTTACAGTGTGGAATGTTTTAACACTTGTTTGCTGTTTCTCTCCCATGCCCATTGGAGAAGATGAGAAATCAGTCAATGATTGATTATTTATTGGAGACCTATTGTGTGCCTTCCCTTGTGGGGCAGGGGGATGGTTAGCTATTAAAAGTTCAAGGTGGTTTCTTCTTAAGAGGCTTCCAGACTAGTTGGGAGTGGTCTATACATATTCACCGAGTGATTCCACAGCATTTATTCGGCATTCAGGTTGTGTGCTTACAGTGAGAACAATTATGAGTTGCTGATAATGGCCTGAGCATGTTACTGTTTCCTGATATGGCATAGAGTTTTGGAGCTTTTGACTCTTAAAGAACCAATACTAGGAAAGATAAGCCATTTGCTGTCATTTTCAAAAGGTGGGACAACACATCACTTAATTGATTCCTCCTCCCCGAGCCCTGTCCTCTGGTTTATTCATATAGGAGGGTATCTGATGTGCATATGTCACTATGAAGCAGCCAGAAGAACCTAAGTCTAAAAACCTTGCTTTGTTCCAAGTG